ACCGGTAAATGGCTCTTCAGACATAAACTTGGCCCCACAAGTAAGTTATCCAGGTATAAAGCCCGATGGGTGGTCCGTGGCTTCAATCAACGTTTCGGAGTTGACTACAACGAGACTTTCAGCCCTGTCATCAAGCCTGCTACTGTTCGAATTGTCCTTAGCCTTGCCCTGTCTCGGGGATGGCCCATCCACCAGCTCGATGTCAAAAACGCGTTCCTGCATGGCCACCTTCAGGAGACAGTTTATGACAGCCAGCCTTCTGGGTTTCAGGATGCCGCCAGACCTCACTATGTATGCAAACTCAAGAAGGCACTCTATGGGCTCAAGCAAGCACCGCGCTCGTGGTACCACAGATTTGCCGGCTTCATTCAGACTATTCATTTCCGCGGGTGCAAGGCTGACACATCCCTCTTTATCTTCTCTCACACCACGGGCACAACATTCCTCCTCCTTTATGTGGATGATATCGTCTTCACTGCCTCCTCAGCATCACTCCTTCAAAGTCTTATACACCAGCTCAAGACCGAATTTGCCATGACTGACATGGGGGACTTACATTTCTTCCTTGGCATTAATGTTCATCGGACGACCACAGGGCTCTTTCTTCATCAGACTCAGTTCATACATGACATACTTGAGCGTGCTGGAATGATTTCTTGTCGGCCTATCACCACTCCGGTCGATGCAAAGGCAAAGCTATCCTCCTCCACGGGCACATTACTCTCAGATCCCTCCATCTACAGATCCATTGTGGGTGCTCTACAGTATCTTATATTCACTCGACCCGACATCACATATGCGGTTCAGCAGCTCTGCCTTCATCTCCATGCACCCCGCGAAGCTCACCTCATTGCCATGAAGCGTGTTCTTCGATATCTGAGTGGCACCACTACTCATGGCATCCATCTGACACTGTCTTCCACAGATTATCTCCAGGACTACTCCGATGCTGATTGGGCCGGTTGCCCAGACACCAGACGTTCCACTTTAGGTTACTACGTGTTTTTAGGGGAAAATCTTGTTTCTTGGTCGTCCAAACGGCAGGCAACCACCTCGCGATCAAGTGCAGAAGCCGAGTACAGGGCCGTAGCCAATGCCGTAGCAGAAACTACTTGGGTGCGCAACCTCCTCCTTGAGTTGTAGCAACCCCTCCAGCGTGCCACTCTTGTCTTCTGCGACAATGTCAGTGCAGTATATCTCTCAACCAATCCCGTACAGCACCAGCGCACCAAACATGTTGAGGTAGACATACACTTTGTTCGTGACAAAGTGGCGCTTGGGCACATTCGAGTCCTGCATGTTTCTTCGTATATATTATTTAATATATTCAATAATATTATTTCCACATCTGACGTAGCCGGGAGCATGTTAAATATATTATTTATATATTTAATATTATTGTATTATATTGTTACCATAATTGTATCAACTTCCTACTATGTCTCTCCTACCTTAACTAGGATTGAGACTCCTAGTATATATTCACATGTAATCACCACAATTCAATTAATGAAAATATTCTTTCTACACTGCAAATACGTAGCAAATACTGACTTCTTTTGTTCTTTCCCATATATATGTAACTGAAATCCTGAGGCTAGTCTCTGTTGGGACAAAGACAAATTGAGGAATGAAAATAATAACAATGCCATAGAAGCGGCTTGTTGCTACGCAATTTGGAGATCAAGAAACAATACAAAATAGGAGGCTACCAGAATTGTTATTTATCAGATAAATGTTGTCATAGAATTCAAAAATAGAGTTAGTTTTCCATTGATGTACGTAGTTGTTTGAGCATTTAGCTTGTTTGAGAGTAACTTTACTTCATCCAATATACATTCATGATTGTTTCTTTCTTGCTCCTTTAATTTCTCTAAGCATATAGATACTAATTCTACAACTCAAGCATTATTTAAGAATTTCAAAAACAAGTCTTGAATCTTGGTCACTTCCATTTGAATGAATGCTACCTTGC